CTGGCGGCAGTTGTAGCATTGAGCTGATCGGAACCGGCACGCGTCTGGCTGGTGTACACCACTGCCACATCTGGAGTTATTTCCGTCCTGTTCCCCACAGCGTGCGTGCCCCATCCTCTACCGTGGAGCGTTGCTTTTCCTCAACATTTTCTTCCGCTATCTCTGCTGGTACGGCGATTTCCCCTGCTTCGGTTCTCGCCAAGAACGGCTTGGCCAGAAGTTGCCAGCGCACAGTTGAATTTTGGAGGCCGCAGACTATCCATTCTCTCAGCATCAGGTCCAGTGCGTCCCCGAAGTTGCACGTGTCTGCTATTTGTCGGATGGCCACAACCAAGTCTCTCACCAGTTCACCCGACAGCTGGTTGTATGAAAGCAACTTGTACGACAGAGCCGTTTCATTCAGTTTTGGCCAAGAGTGTTGATGTAGAAGGTCGACCACTTCACTGTACGGAAGTTCATTCACCTTTGCTCGTGCACACCGTTTGCTGATGACGTCCACAGTGTTGGTGCTCAGCGCCGCGACGAGCGAGGCAAGTTCCTTTTTCACATCCGTCACCTGCAAAGAATGCCTCCAGTCGGATCTAATGGGCGGGCCACTTGTCAACAGCTTCGTCGAGCTGCGGCAGACTTGAATAGCTAGCTGGCCACGTTTGCTGGGACTGAGCAGCGAAAGACACTATCCCATTGTCGTCACCACTGTTACGACGCTACGGAAAACATGACAATAGCAACTGGCAACCAAACATGTTTATTCCTGTGCAGCTTGCACCTAACCCTTTCGCTTCTGCGGCATCGACGCCCGTTCCCGCAAGCTGCACCCCGCAACTTTTCCACCACGCGGACTGCCGCGTGTGGTGTCGTAAAGAAAGCTCTATAACTTCTGCTACAGTGTAGACCGCATATAACGTATGTCGCGGGAGTCGCGAAAATCCGCACTATAAGCGGTACCGCGTTATAACCAAAACATCAACTTTTCAGGCCAAAATACATGCCATGAGACAACTTACCTTTGTAAAACAAATTTATTTTATATTAGATGAAAAATAAAGCTTAGTTTTAGGAAAGTCTTTATTTCACCAGACTAGTACACTAATTCTCTCTCAAGTGTATCACACATTTCGAAAGAAATGAGCGACTTTTGCCTGGCGCAGCCTTTAACGGCGTCGCAGGTTGCGGACGGACGTTGCTAGCGTTCAGGATTGCTAACCCTAATCACTTTTCTGCGGTGATGAAAACGCGTGAAAATTCGCATCCTTTATACGGTACGCGCCAGTAATACCTTCAAATTTAGCACAGGCATGAAATGCTCCAAATAAGAAATCCGGGCGATGTTCGAAAACACAAATGCAGAAGTCACCACTGTTGTCGAAGTAAACGAACACGACGACACGGGCGTTTCTGCCGTCTTGAGAGTGCCGCCACGACATCGCCGCACGAGTAGGTGGATCTTCCCTTCTAGTACGTGCTGGGTTATCATAGCGACACACAGCGAAAATTCAGTCAAGGATAGCGCTTTTACGCGGAACGATTTACGCGGAACGAACCACACCGTCCATGCCGACGATCACAACCGACGCCATGTTTGCGGATAGAAGTAGCCGGGCCGGGACCGGCATGCAACGCGCGCGAACACTTCTCCTCGACCTGCGATTGGCCTGTCGTTGCGGTTGCGGAGGGACGCACGCACGTGAACGACACGTGCGTGCGTCCCTCTGTCGCTATGGCAACTGAAGCCTCTCTCTTTGTTTTTCACCGCTTCTTCGAGCACCCTCCTTGCCCCGCGAGTGCTGCGTGTTGTTGCGGCTCGCGCCGTTATCTAGTGTCGCACAGGGAAGCGTGCTCTCTGCGTCGGTCAGTCGGCGCGGTCGCCAGGCTGTTCCGAAAACCGCACTATAACCGGTATTTCCCTTCGCGCGCCTGCATTTTAAGCGGTATGTAATTACATGGAGTTCTATGGGAGGCAAACCGGTGGTTTAAAAAAGCCGCGTTATACCCGGTCCTGCACTATAAGCGGTTACGTTGTAAGTGGTCTATACTGTATATGACTTGCAGGTGAACACTTTTTACTTTATTTTGTTCGGGAATGTCTTCCGGAAGCAATGCACTCCGAGTACCTTGCAGGTGTGGAAGGTCTTGAAGCAGACAGACATGTGGATTGCCACACACATCGCCCTCACAATCCTGCAGCTCTCACCGTAACTCTCATCGTCACTACTTGCTTGGTCCGATATAGCTTCTGGATCGTCACCACGGTCACTTTCGTAATCACTTTCCCACACCAGCTCGGGAATTTCCTCACATGTGAGCATCTTCTTCTTTCGCGACGCCACGTTTCTGATGCAGCGAACGAATCGACAGAGAAAACGAAACTGCAAACTTTGTTTTCTTTTCATAAACAACCGAAGCTCAAAAATAGTGGACAACTATGTCCATCTGGTGTGAAAAAGAGGCTAAACAAAACAACCAGATACCAGTGTACAGGAAAGCACCATCTACTGGGGCTTTTTAAAAACAATGTGTTTTCCGGAGGACGGCGATTCACCAAGTTCTTGCACTTTGGCCTTGGCGGAAGCGGCCGGCGAATTGCCGGCTTTGAAAGCGAATGGGTTAATGTGAAAGCCAGGTGAGGGGAAGAGGAAAAAAATTACCGCATCTCCACGTGGTGAATGATGTTGATTGGGGTGAAGCTCGGGTGGTGCTGATGATACTGATTTTGGTCATAGGTAGTGCTGATGGTGCCGTCTTCATTCACGTCAGTAGGAAAATGTGTGGTATTCTTCTTTTTCTTTTTTTAAGAAAACAGATGGGATGGCATTTCAGAACCCTCTACTTTTTTTTCTTCTTTTTCTTTTTTTATAATTTTTTTTCATCTTTTTCTTTCCATTTTTTTTTCTTGCTCTCGCTGCTGAACTCACGAGCAGGGGCACGCCGGACGGCGGACGGACATACGGATATGGCTAGTCCCTAAGGAGCTTCGCCCCTAAAAGCAAGAGGGAAGGCGCAAAGAAGGCAAGTGTCAAAGCGCTGCGGTGATCTGCAACAATGGGAAGCGGGTCTCTCTGACCTCTGGGGTGGCCTCTTCGGTGTAGCGCTGTGGGCTTCTGCAGGTCTTGCACAGGGCTAAAATCGTTGAATTCCCCGTCGCCAGATTTTGTGCTGTCTTTGCCTCGTTTGAGGCGTCCTGATGCACTGGTCACTCCAAGACAGATGATTCCCTTTTATTATTACAACTCGTGAGCTCCATCAATGGGTCCCCGGCCCAGTCCCATCTTGACTTCCGACATGACAAGCCTGGCCTTTCAGGTCCTTTTCCTTTTGTGCCACGTGGCATAGATGCGTGCCCTTCTAGTGTCCGACGACACTAGAAGACCCATATGCTGATAGACAGATACGCCGATACACCAAAATGCCGATAGACAGATACGCCGATACACCAATATGCCGACCGTACCACTACACAGATACACCAATATGCCTATAGACCTGCTGTAACATCCTCAGTCATCGCCCATCCCACTTTTCGAGGCAATATGGATTTCCAAAACAAACACAGAGTCATCGCCCACCCCTACTAATACCCCAATCAAGACTCCACGATCCGCAAACATTGATCCTACCTGAATGATGCAGCCGCAAACCTTACAGTTGGAGGACGTCCGTGACTAAGTAAAACGAAGGAAAGAAAGACTTTTCTCTTTGTTTATGCATTTCCTCCGCGAGTGACCCCAAAGTCGTAGTGCATCCATGCGAAAACAATATAGACAACAGTATGAAACTTTGTTTTGCTTACAAAAAATCTGCCCAAACAAAAACAAAAAGAAAAGTCGGAAAGATAACACAACACACACATTCGGGGATTGCAAGGTAAACGAACGCCCCATATCCTGGAATGAAACTGCAGTGTCTGTCTCCGCTGATGTAAGGTCGCCGCAAACCCGCTCCTTCTCTCAGCACGTTGCGACCCCAGTTTTCAAATGTTTAAGACAAAGCCAACGGGTGAAGAAAGATTTCCGGGGACGCAGCACACAGACAGTTGTAGAGTGTCCCATTTCGAGCTCCGTGTTTGTGGTGCCGTCCACTTCACACAGAAACGCCGCCTTAACCCGCGTTGATAGCACACCGTGCACGAACGCACGCATGTATGCACCAAACAAGAAAGTTGCGCAAGAGTTTGCGAGTGACAAGGCGCCCAACTTGGTGCGACGCCAAAGTATTTGCCAAGGCGATCGCCAACTTCCCCACCATCGCCCTTCGTCACTTCTTTCGTCTGCCCGCTCGCTCGTAGCGCCTGGTTGGGTTTCCTAGTCTATTGTGGACTTATTTTATTTTTTTACTAACGAGGAGAACATTGCAATGTTAGAAACGTGTTTTGTTCACGCTGTATGCCAATCGGCAGTGTTCATCACACGTATGCAAGCAACAGACTTCGCGATACTAAAACATTCTTTCATGAGCATATTTTGCATGAAACAATGAAACTAATTAGAGTTTTGAGTTTAATGTATCTCCTGTGCAGCTGCGCTAGATTCGCGCAGAAGAAGGGGCGTTTTTTTTTTACTTTTCATTCTCACGTATGGAGACATGGCCCACCCCTTTTTTAGGAATTTCAGGCGGCAGGGGGGTGGGCAATGACTCGGCATATTATGGTATACGTCAACAGACCTACGAGTGTCAATAAACCGAGAGGCATATTTGGTTTACTCTTGAGAAATAAGACGGTCAATGCTGGATGATCGCAGGTTCTAAAACAAAAAAGTTGCTGCACGATAATCATGGCAGAGCAGCCTCGCCTCAAAATACAGAATCAGCTACCGAGATGGCCGCACGTTTCGCACATCCCCAATTGTGTACTGGGTCAGTGGAAACTTGTGGAGGCGACAAGCTGCACAATATATTTGGTTCGGGTTTTGGCGGGGGTAAACACATTGTGATGCCTTCTACCTTGGTGCGACAATCTAGACGCTAGTGCCATAAATTCCATTTCTGGGAAAGCGTCTCACTTGGGACAACCATTTCACCGAGAGAGCTCCGTTGTTGCTGGCTGTGCTCCTCCCTCTGGTGTGGCTCCTGCAAAAGTAGTTAACACCTTGCTCATTACCCAGAACCCTGTTTGCAAGGGGGTGGCACTTTACTGGACGTTTACACCCACGTATGAGTGCAACGCACAAAAGTACAGGTGTAAACATATTTTTTACGCTCTTGGAGTCGTTTTGCTGTGAACTTTTCTAAGCGAACCCGCACGTGTCTGCGTACAGACTTTCCCCGCTCTTCTGATGTATGATATCCACATAATAAAAACAGCGCAAAGACGAGGACAGAGTAAAAGGTAACCTGTAATACCTGGCTTGCACGTGACGTCATCCAAAGAGCGCTCCGATAGCCACCAGAGAGGAGGTGAAGGAGGAGCTCCCCCCTCATTCTCTTTTGCATCTCCCAGATTTGTCCAGATGTCGCCCCTCCCAGATCACAAAACCCGTCACTCAAAATCCCTACATGGTGGTCAGAAGTAGTTATGTGACCTCAGTGCAGACCAAGTACAAAGTTGAGAGTCGAGCTAGTTGTTGTACACTGTGATGAAAAAAAGCACAAAGGACAGGACAGTGCCTGTCCTGTCATATAAGTTTCTCTTTTGTCCTCGTATTTTTAGCTGCTTTTGATCACCATGGAACCGACAGCCGCGATGAAAGCAGAATTTGACCTTTCGTAACATGTTCTATAGCAGGCAAAATATTGGTTTCAAGCAGCCACTGACACTTTTGGGGCAGATGACAACATCTGTTAGCACATCATTTGAGAATGAAAAAGTGATTGCATCTCTAAATGACTTAATTTATGATAATGATCGAGGGTTCCTCTTTGATAAGAATAGATAAAAGAAAGTCTTCTTAAAGTCTAGGTAGGACCAATCGGACAGCGTCAAAGGCTCATAGTGTTTGTCATGTTTCTGTATGTGTTCTATCATGTACAAGAAAGTGACATGCGCTTTTGGCACTGTTTTGCTTCGGCTGCATCTGGACTCAAGCTGAAACAAAGTCAGAGTAGGTTTCATGGTATGACTATACAAGTTTCAATTCAGCTAACACTTGCAGACGCATTATCGCGTGCTCCAAGGGACACACACCTGAGGAACATGATGCCCATGCAGTCGCAACACTGTTAAACCTGGTGAGCAATACCACAATGAGCAAGCTCGCAGCTGCATCAGCCAAGGACACTGCTTTGGCAGAGGTAATCAGCTGCCTTCACAAACGCCGGCCACTGCCTCAGTCATGCCCATACAGGTCGTGTGCTGAAGAAATTTTAGTCGTTCTAGGAGTGCTTCTTAAGGGACTCGAGGTGGTTATTCCAAAGAGGCTCAGAAGGGAGACGCTTACACGGTTGCATGACGGTCGTTTGGGAACCAACAAATGCAAATCAAAAGAGCGCCTTTTAATGTTCTGGCCTGGAATGCCATCGGACATTGAACAAATGGCCAACAACTGTTCAACATGCAAGCACTATGCGCACCAGCTGAACCACTGTAGAGAGCAGTGCCGCTCATAGGTGCGCAATGGTGTGGACTGGTTTAAGTGTGGTGGACACACATACCTACCGTATTTATTCGAATATAGGTCGACCTTTTTTTTTTCGGAAATCTTGTCAAAAATTAAGGGTCGACCTATAATCGTGACCAAAGAATTTCGACCTAATTCGCGACCAAAATTTGAAACCCTACCGAGGGTATGGAGTTGTCAATCACCTAGCCGGCGTCGCGGTAGAGCCGCGCGGCTTCTTTCAAAAAGCTTTTGATGCACAAAAACAACCGAACAGCAGCAGCCGACAGCCCGTGGCCGCCGGCTACGGCTCTCGTGCACATTCCTCCGGCGTCGGGTTTCGCCATCACGCCTGTAGCGTTCCCCTCGCTGGGCAAGGGGGAAGGGGAGGGAGAGGAACGCGATGCGCCATGCACTTTGCCCTCCTATGCGCTCCATTCCCCTCTCCCTCGCAAACGCGCAAAAAAAAAAAAAAATTTGGAGGTACTTTAGTTTGTTTTTCTTCGGCGGGTTGCGTGTTGCTGACGGGGCTCGCAGCGTTGCTCATGTCTTTGTATTTTTTCTTTCGTCGCTCGCCCGTCTCCACCTTCTTTCGTTTCTTCTTGTCGTCATTTTACAACGGTGTCAGTGAGGTATTGTTGCCAATTTGCGAGGATGTCTACCAAGCTGACGAAGCTTCGGACGACGATAGGTCCGGACGTTCTGACGATGAATAAGTTTTTGACATCACCCTGTGATTTAGCTGAGAGTGCTGTAAGTAAAGGTTTGTTTCTTTTGCCCTAACTTTCCCCTGTTCCTTAAAAAAAAAAAAAAGAAAGGTCGACCTATATTTGAATTATTTTTTTTTTATTCTCGGTGGGCTCAATAAATAGGGGTCGACCTATTTTCGTGGTCGACCTATTTTCGGGTAAATACGGTAGTCACTTTCGATGCATTCTCTAACTTTCTGGAGGTCGAGCAGCTCACAGCCACCACAACAGATGCAGTGGTCAAAGTGTTATCAGCGATCTTTGCAAGGCATGGACTACCGATGGAGGTGCGTACCGACAACAGACCCAAGTTCGGTTCTAATGCATTTAAGACTTTCGCACGTCACTTCAAGCCCACACTTCCCGCGCTCAACGGACTAGCCGAGAAAGGCATACAAGTCGTTAAAAGGATCATGAAAAAGTCCACCCATGCACAGGAAGACTACAAACTAGGCCTTCTGAACTACAGGTGTTCACCGTGGTAGATGGCCGATTGCCATGTGAACTCTTGATGGGGAGAAGAATCAGATTGCGACTGCCCGACTTCACGGAGCAGGCCCCAAAACCAGTGCACAAGCCAAAACTGAGCATGAGGTACAACTCACACTATCTGCTTTCGCCGCAGAGTAAACAGTAACGGCAGAGTTGAACGCCGTCGATTTAGAAGTGTGACGACCCTGAGCTTTCATTGTGCTTTCTATACCCCTGTCAGACGGGCTAATTTAGTGCACTTCAACGAGTGCACTTGGCCTTTAATGACATTTCTGTAGCGTGCCACCTGAAGAACACGCTCGGCTTCAAATGAGTTTGACGAATTCACCTCACACGATCGAGCACATACCCTTGCGTTTCAAGAGCAAAACAAAGCTCGCAGTTCACGCCGACGAATGCATTGGATGCACACCTGAGTTCCCGGGAACCAAGACAAAGGGGGAACACCGCAATCGCTACGGACGTGAGATCATCGAAACCTTCCTTATCGAGAACACAGAAAAAAAATGTTTCATTGGCTTTCTTATTAAAGGGACCATGAAATGATTTTAAAATCGAGTTTCATCCACCGCACGTCGTAAAAGGTGTGAAAAGAAACACAAAAACACAAAAATAGGGAGCCCAAAAAAATTATTTGCTATAGAACTTTTAAAAGAAAACTGGACTCTTTTGCGCCTTCCTTCCTTGCCTGTTCACTACGATGCATACGCAGAATCGGTGCACGTCAGCCGAATCCACATCGCCTATTGGGTAAGAGCCTACCTCACCAGCACTGCGATCGTAAACAATAAATAGCCGGCGAATGTTTCCTAAAAGTTTTGTTAAATAATATTCAGATCCACATTTTGTAGCATAATTAGAGATGTGTGGCGAAAATTGCCAAATTTGATAATGCTGAGAGCCAAGCGCCATCTATCGTGTGGTAAACGAAGCAACTACTGCGCGTGCGCAGTAGGGCAGGGCCGCCAGTTACTTGAGTGACGGCGACCGACGAACATTTATTTTCTTTGTTTCCCTTCCTCTCAAAACTCTGACTGACTGAACGTTTATTTTTCTACGTGTTCTTCCCGCGCGTGCCGACTTCAAGCAGCAAGAAAACAGTACTTAAAACAGACCACGACGAACAAGAACGCTGGATTCACCGACTCCGACGAAGCGTATAGGCCTAGCAGGCATTCCGACTCGGCGCTGCGTTGCTTCGTCGCAAGACCGTCTGCCTACGACCGGCTGGCGTGCTAAATGGAATATGCCCGCGCGACCCTTGTGGACCCTTTCCGTATTATAGTTTGATCACTGACCTCAATTCTAGATTAAGAGGTGAGGAGGTCAATCTCTTCCCCTTGTTTTCCGAGGCAGTGTTGACGAACACTCGTCGAAAAGGGACTCTCGTCGATTCTATCTTCTTGTTTTGTGTGATATAGAGCTGAAATAAACGCCGTATGGATTGCCTTCGTAACACGGTATGTACACTTTGTTATTGGTATGCCATTTTTATTCTGACAGACTGCACGTCACTGTCGACCCCGGTCCAACCTTTCTTTGCCGAGTGTCGCGTCAGTATCGAGTTGCAATCGTAAAAGAACGGTCCCGAAGCGCTTACCAACAGCGCGAATACAAGACTTCCATCAAGCGCGCGCGTCCGCTCCGAGTGTAAACAGGCCTGACACGGGCCGGCCCTTCTGCCAACAATGACGGGGTGGTGACAAGACTCGCTGCACTTCCCAACAGGCATACCGGCGTATGGGACTAGTCCCATGCTGTCGCTGTAGCGCAACATATCTCATTGAATTTCGCTCAGCTGCGACGCGGCGATCAGAGGCGCCGATTCAGGAAATACGTCGGTGACATCAGCGCAGTAAAACCTACCGGCGCACCCCAACTCGTTGCCGCTAACACTCCCATTCTCCTACTGCCGAGAGAACTTCCGGTTCCGGAAACGGTTTACGTCACGGCTTCTTTTGCGGTCAGTTGGAGAGAATGAAAAAGTCGATATTTCAATAATTTTTTGTGTAAAAGTTAATAAACCGAGACGAAAACGGATGCCTGTTCGGCATTCAGTGAACATTGACGGTTTAATGTAAAAGTTATCTGGAAAAAGTAAAAAGGTCATTTCATGGTCCCTTTAAGACTGGAAATAGAATTCATCAGGCCTGAACTTGAAAAATATCGCAACTCCCTGTGAAAAAACCATCACTGCAGTTGTGCCTTGTGGTTTCCTCCTGACCCTTCCCATTTTTCCTTTCCCCACCCTATCTTTGTTGGGATCTCGTTCAGGGTGCAATTTCCCTGCCTA